GAAGGAATAAAATTAGTTATGAGAGTAAATAAGAAGTGCATGTTAGCAGCTTCCAAAAAAAAAAAATTGAGACAGACAGTTTGCTGCTGAACAGTTAGTCACGCATAACTCTCTATAATGTTGGAGCATCATCTTCAGCCTTCTGGCTCAGAATATTTTGACAGACATAAACATGAAGCAGGAACTATTTAGGACTTGCTTACCCAGTCTTAACAGAGTTCGGTAGTCGACTTGTTCTGCATTTAAGCTTGCCCATTTTAGGCAGAATTTGTCTGTTGTGAAGTGAGGGTATTTTCTTTACCAGAGTGGCTTGTTTGCCACATTTGAAGCCATCTCCATATGGACGTTCTTCGATGCTCATTATCTTCTTTCAGGTAGGTGGGGTGCTGCCAGGAAATGACTTGTCTCATTGTCAAAGAATCTTTAAAATAATAAGAACATTTTAAATGTCATATTCTGTAGGTCTCTGAAGTTTTTGAAGACTACCTATCTTTATGTAATCGCTTTGTATACAAAATCATATCTATCTGTCAAACCTATGAGATATACTCCTGTGATAAATTAGACTAGTGTCTGAAATGACTATGAGTTGAATAACTAATAATTAACTTGCATACCTAATATCCTAACCACCTTTTAATAATAGTTTAAAAATATTGGAAGTAACCTTGACTTTCTATCAGTATAGTAAAGCTTATACCAATGTATTAAAAATACTTATTTTTGCATCCATATGCAAAATTCTATACCAGAATTAAAATTAACCTTATTTGGTAATAACAAATAAAACCTTAAGTTGAGTAGATTCAATAATATACCCTTTTTTCTACTTTTATAAATTATCTCTGTACATTCCTTGTTTTACTTTGAATAAGACCTTTAATAATAAACATCTTCTAATGACAATAAAATTTCGTAGCCATAGCAAACAACCAAAAACATACCCAACCCCCTTTAAAGGAAATTGGACGCTGTTCTCATGAGTTTCTTCTAGCTGACATTGTGGACATGTAGAAATCCTGTAGGATAAAATGGTTAAAATAAAAATGGTTAATTAAGCAAGCAATAACATTTGTGGTCCAGTAGGATTTGAATGTTGAGAAATTTCAGGCTTAATAAAAGTCCTTTTCGGAACAGTTTAAAATGCTAGACCGGTTAAAATTAGTAGCTTTCTTCAAAGTTCTTTTGGGAGCAGGCTTTGATGAGAAACGGCAATTGAAGCAGTTGAGGTAGGTATAAGCAGAATGCTGGAACATGCAAGATGCTGGAACAGATGTGTCAATTTCTCAGCATGGTGAAGAATGATTCTGTTAGGTTTGATCCAGCATCTCTGGTGTCCATTTCTTTTGTTCTGCAAACATATAATTTCTCACAAGTATTATAGAGTTCTAAAATTTTAAATGTAGGAGATGTGCAGGATGAAACTAAACTGTAAGCTAATTTTATCTATGCGAATTAAAAGGTAAGCATAATACATTTTGAGGATATTATAGCCAAGGATTTATTGGCCAAGTATTGTTGAAGTTTTGGCTGGAGACATATTTTTATGTCTCAGTCAGTTTTAGAGTTGTTCCCATGTAAAGGGATTAGCAATATAAGCTACCATATTATCGATTCATGGTGTCCTTGATTCCTTAAATATTTTGTGTCAGGAAATTTCCTGACTTAATGTTTTTGTTGAGAGATTTGTTGATTTATTCAGTTGTATCTTCAGCACCTGAGATTATCTCCTCCACCTCTTGTATTCTGTTTTTGATGCTTACCTTTGTAGTTCCTGATGTCTTCTCTAAGTTTTCCATTTTCAAGGTTTTCTAGCTAGTTTTCTTTATATAGTCTCTTTCTGTTTTCAGTTCTTGAACTGTTTTATACATTTCCTTCACTTGTTTGTGGTTTTCTGTATGCTCTTGATGGCCTCTACTTGTTTGGGTGTGATTTTTTTGTATCTCTTTGCGACATTTATTTGTTTCTTATTTATATGCCCTCTAATAACTGCATGATCATACCTATAGCTCATTTTCCTGAGTTTCAGCTGAATTAAAATATCAATTGTTTTTTATGTTTTCTGATGGATCCATGATGTGTTAATTTGTGTGGACTGTGTTCTGATACTGGCCTTTAGCCATCTGGGTGTCCATAGCCTTAGATTTTGTTCCTTGAACCTGTACCTATTACTGGATCTGCCTGACTATGTGTCTGGAATACTATTCATGATAATGGGGGAGTTTCAGAGAAACACCAATGGGTGCTGGTGTTTTAGAAGCAGCCATGCTGGGGTGGGTGTTTCAGAAGGCAGGGCTCTCAGGCATGGGTGCCTTGGAGGGCAGGGCTCAGGTGTCGCAGGTGGTAGCTGCAGTGGGGAGGGCTTCAGATTGCACATGCAGGGGATCTGGTGACTCAGAGACAGCTGAGCTGCAGCTTACAGGCCTACCAAACACTGTAAGCTAAGTCGGAGGCTCCACCAGCTGCTTGCTGTTCAGGCACAGTCTGGGACAGTAATTTGTAATGAGGTAACCCATTCCTGGCTTGAGATTCTTCTTTAATAACCCATGTTGTCTGACAGCATTCTTGCTCACTAAATCATGAAAACTCCAACTTAACATACATTTTAATTAATGTGCAAACTATTAGGGTTAATGTTTTCAATGACACAACCCTACTACTCCTTTCCGTAATACTTCTTTTCACATTTCCACTTAAACATTTATTCCCACTATTTCCCCATCCTTATTTTTTATATCACATGTGTTATATTATAATATATCCTCATATTTTTAACTTTAATTGCAAAATCACAGGTTTACAAGTGGCTTCTTCATTTATACTCTGCTTGGAGTAACCTTATGACTATCCCTTCATTTCCCTACTGTTTCCCCCTAATACTTACTGAACCCTTCTGCCTCTACCATCGTCTTTTTCTACTTTCATTCAACCTATAAGCTACTATTTTTCTTCCTAAATGGATGCCCCACCAAAAGTCCATTTCTAGTTTCCAAGAAGATACATGTACTCCCCAATAACACAGAATATAGAAGGTTTGAAGCTAGGACCCTCATATGAGAGAATACATGTGAGGTTTGTCTTCTGGGATCTTGATGGAATCAGCATTTTTTTTTCATTTCATCCACTCATTTTAAAATTTCATAATCCCATTTTACTTTATAGCTGATTTAAAAATGATGCTGCATTCTGAACATAACATGGCTATTGCATACATGAACTCATACTAGCTGTTTTTGTCTACACATGATCAAGCTAGTCAAAATTCTTGTAAGATGATAAATTGGCAGTTGATGTCTACTGAGAGAGGGAGAGGAGAAAAGCTTCTCATGACTTCATGTGTGGTCACATGGCTATATGGACAGCACTAACCAGACTGGGGAAATTGTTAATAATGAACAAAAGGGGAATAAACCTGGAAGGAGAATGGAACAAGGCGGACTTGGAAGAAGCTAACTGTGTATAAATATGAACAATACAATATATTTGAACATCTAGGACCCTAAAAGAAAAAAAATACTATTTAAAAACATAATAAAGATATATGCATAGGAGTGGTATAGCTGGATCTTGAGGTAGCAATACTCCTAATTTTCTGAGAAATCACCAGATTGATTTACAAAGTGGTTGTACAAGTTTACAGTCCCACCAGAAATGGAAGAAGGTTTCTCTTTCTCCACATCTTCTATAACATGTATTGTCACTTCAGTTTTTGATCTTAGCCATCTGATGGATGTAAGGTGAAATCTCAGGTTGTTTTGATTTGCATTTCCCTGATGACTAAGGACCTTGAGCATTTATTTAAGTGTTTCTCTGCCATTCCATATTCTTCTATTGAGAATTCTCTGTTGGGGAGAGGCATGGGAGGAGGAAAGGGAGGGGGTACAGCTGTGATACAAAGTACATAAATAGTAATAAAATAAAAAATAAAGGATCTTGAATATAGGAGGTGAAAGACACATAATAAATACCTACAAATCAATAACAATAAAAGTAGGAACAATGTGAAACCACTTAGCTTGGCATTTCCTGTTCCATAGCCTACAGGCTAAGAAATTCTGGGAGAAGCTAGCATGCTAGTACATGTTATAAATCAGAGATTTTCTTGAAATATTTTCAATTTGTATGCCCAGGTAATACATAAAAAAAAAAAAAAATACAAATTATTCAAGTGGTACTCACATTTCCAGAAAACAAAGAGAACTTATGTAAATTGAATAAAATGAGAGAAAAAGAAAAATGCCAAGTGTGGTACCCATACTTTAATCCCCAGTGCTCTGGAGCAGAAGCAAGCAAGCATCTGTGAGTTCAAGGCTAGGCTGTCTACATAGTGAGCTCCAGGCCAACCAGAGCTACATAAGGACACCTTGTCTCAAAAACAGAACAAAACAAATAAAGCTTAGGGTAAGAGTGTTAGCTGGTTGGGAAGGACTCTGTTTTCTCAAGGGGCTTGCTACTGGAAGTTTCACCATGCTTCAGTGAGAAAATGGGCAACACAAATAAAATTGATTTCTTTTATTTCTCTTTGGAGATTGTAGAAACTACAAACAGGTAAAGAAGCAAATCTGGGAGTACTGGGAAGTGAGTATAATTAGGGTTCATGGTGTGAAGTTCCCAAATAATCAATAAAAATATTATGAAAAAAGTATTAGCCAGCATCTGAAAGTCAGATCATTAACAATGTATTTAATTATATTACTTTTAAATGAGTGTGGAAAGTTTCCTTTAAGTTTTATATCATTGTCTAACTACAAAAATTACTAATTCTGAAAAACTTCTTTAAGAAATGGTAGTAGGGACATCATTTTTAGTGAGACTACTGTTCAATTACAAGATGTACAAGGGAAACAATGCCCTCATGAGCTTGAGAATTTTCTGTTTTGTACTTTCCCTCCTTTTTCAAACAAGCCTTCTGCAGACCCCTAGTTGAGATATCTCATGGGAAAGACATCTGAGACACTGGGTTTCAGTGTGCAGCGACCATGGAAGGTTTTGGCTTTGACTTAGAGGGCTGTGAGAGCAAGTGTTAGTCCTTGCTGACAATAGTAGGTTGCAACATCATCAGCTTCCACAGGATGGATGGTGAGGGGGAAGTTTAATTCATCCTCATCACCACTGAACCTGGCAGGGATCCCAGACTCTAGACTGTACACATTAAACATCAGGAGTTTGGGAGGCTGTCCTGGTTTCTGTTGATACCAATGCATAAGATTTATGCCAAATTTATTGACACTCTCCCTGGCCCTGCAGGAGATGGTGGCCTTTTGTCCTAGAGACACAGTCAAGGAAGCTGGAAACTGGGTTAGAGCAATGTTTCTAGTGGAACCCGTATTGATAAGCACACAAAACTACTGTTGCAGATATACTGATCTTAGTGTGAGACACATGACTTCTATGACAGTAGTCACACACATCACTCTGAGCTGTAAGAAAATGAAAGGTAGCCTGGGAAAGAAAAAAACAAATCAGATACCGTAATTCCAATGATGTTAGAGGCATGGAAAGCATCCACAGCTACAGCAGATGTTTTCAGCCCTTCCCTGCACCCTCTCACCTGGTACCCAGAACAGCAGCATCGACAGCAGGAGAGCCACTAACCCCATCTCTGAGAGCTGGACTAAAGACTGCTTCTTAAGACACTGATAAGCTACCTTTAAAGATGTTTGAGCAGTGTGGACCATTGGCTCTTGACACAATATGGAAAGCAACTCAGTAAATCTAGTGCTCAGCAGGACACCTGCTCTTGTTTCAGGAGTCCTTGGAGTAGGTGAAACCACTCATAGAGCATCTCAACACATCCTAAGGGATATCACGCCTGCCCTAATGAATATTGACGCCATTTCTTTAAAATAATTGTATACAAAACATTTTGATTGTTTGTCTTCTTCCAACTTTTTCTAGATCTTTCCCACCTCCTTTCCACCCAAATTGATATTCTCCCCACCCCTTCTCTCTCTCTCCTCTATCTTTCTCTCTTTTTTTTTTCTTCTGCATCAAAAAAATCAGAACAAATAAAATAAAATAAGTATGATAAAAAGTACTGTGTGGGTGATCTATTGTAAAGAACAAAAAATTTTTAGGATCGTTATGAAATTTCAGTAATATCAAACTCATCAAAAAACAGTGCATTTCACATTGGAATCTTTAACAGGAATAGAAAGCAAGTGGATTTTAGGCAATAGAGAGAAAATATGGATTTCTTTGGTTTCAAGGGAATTTGTACCACTAAGTATCCATCAGGTTAAGTCAATACATATCCTCAGGAGCTAAGACCTTAAGAGACATGAGCAGGGAACACAGATCAGTGTAAATATGCAGGGTCATACCATATGACATTCCAAAATCCAATGGTGGACCTACAAGATACCCTAATGGCAAAGCAGTTGTC